AACAATGTTGGCAGCATTTACAAGTCCTTTTTTTAGTTATTTAGGAGCTTATGTATGCTGCTCCGTCATCGTCTGGAACTGAGAGTAGTGAGGGGTTGCCAAATCATTCCAAAGAAGTGGATTATCCTCGTCCGTGTGATATTTGTTGTCCGACGGTAGTTATTTCTGACCGCTTTGAGTTCTCACGGCATCTGAGAAATGTTCATTCAGTTAAGGAGGGAGGCTCTTATATTTGCAGGTTTGTTTTTGCAATCACCAGAAAAGAAAAAAGGTTTTTTTAAATCCTGTTTTCTGATTTTTAAGTATCTCAGTGAGCAAAGAGTGTTTTTTGGGTTAACAGGACCGTTTTTGTGCTGAACGTTATACTTTTTAGAAACTAAGTAGTATTATGCGTATAATTATAATTTTGATTTCGTAAATTAATTGCATAGTGCACGTTCAGCATCACAAGTTTACAAAGGTATTAATTAAGGTACGGGCCGAACGGAATATGCCAAACGTTACCGCTTGAAGGAGTTTCGGATCATGATTATGAGGCACATCTTCGGAAGTATCATGTAAACGCAGGTATACTTGCAAGAACAATTTTAGGTTTCTAACGTATAAGTGGTTTTTACCGTGCTTTTTTTTCTAGCGTTGGATTCTAAACTGCGTTCTCCTGACACGTTGTCGCTGAATGGGATTACTCTGTCTGCAAATAAAATTTTCACCGTTCATAGGTTTGTAAAATGCCGAATTCTACAGCTTGATGCCAACTTTTTTTATAGGTTTTAAAGAATGTTGCTGGAGTTGTTTTATGCAATTTACCAGATCAATTTTTAGTTTCACACAAAATCTTGCTTCCGTTTTATCTGATCCTTCGCGCTCTCGTAGCGAAAGACTTGCCTTTTTTACAAGACACTGGGGAGAATCGTTTATCCCAAAAACACGTGTTTCATCATCTCCATCTTTGCCGAATATAACCGTTGACCATTTTAAAAACTATTTGGCAACGACCGCTAAGGTGCGAAATATGTATTTGTTTTTTCACGCTTCGCGTATTGCTTCCAAACAGCTGTATTTTGTCGTTGAGGTCATCATTCAAAAAAATTTCGGCAAATACGGGCTTAGTTGTATGCGGGAATTATTATTTCTTAAGCTTAAAATACTGGCCACATTATTTCTAGAAACACCGCTCGTACTTGAAGGCACGGCGAGCATTATTGAGAACTTTAGCTCGGCACGACGAGAATAAAAGGATTGATGCTGACGACATTCCAAAGGTTTATTTCAAGCTTGTTTTAAGGCATTCATATTTAGGTGAACCGTTCTTGCCTAAATTTGTAAAAGTGTTATCTGATTTCTTGAAATGCTGACTCGAGAGATTATTACTTAGTTTGATAGCTCTTAAGTTTTGGTTGCAGAATTTGTTTGACCTCTCAAAATACTTCAGAATTCAGTACTTGGCATGTCATTAAAACAGTAAATGAAAGTTAGGTGTACTAGATAAGAAGCAAATGCATCTTTTCTTTTTTCATTTTGCAGCTCAGTTGCTGTTAGTTGGAAGGCAGAGTGAATAATGTAATTGCGACCTTTTACCAGCTGCGAGAACTTTTTAGATTCTTCTTGATGTTCACTTCTCCCTCGCTGATTCAGAAACGTTTGAAGCCATTTTCTTGGAACCGAATCTGGAACAGCCAGATCGGTTACTAGTTGAAGGTATAACATCCGGTTCCGTCCCTCGTTGTGACAGCGCAGCCTCTTTAACCCCTAGTTTATCGGAGGACGCTCGGATTTCAGCGGTATTTGTAATTCTTCTTAGAGTGATCTTGAAGCAAGGTTTTAAAGTGAAAATTGCAGATTTCTGTCACTTTTACTTGTCATTTTTCTCCAGGCTTTAGAACCTTTTGAAGCGGGAAACGGGAGATATTTCCGGCGATACGCTTCCTTACAAAATACCCTTGAGTATTTCCACGACTTGGTGGACTCTCGTTTAAATAACCAGTTGGCGGCAAAATCTAGTGCTTTCTGGAAAACTGTAATCTCTTATAGTAATTTATATGGCGAGCTAGCTGATGCTCGACGGAAAGTTGCTCGCGTAAGGTAAGCTTTGATTAAAAGGAAGATCGGTCTTTTCAGATGTCTGTTTCATTCATACTTTCACACGGAAACTTTAGGGGGAGCTTGAAGAGTGTTGATGAAAAAGTATACAAGCACATGACGAGGATTATGGAGCTGTCGTGTGCCAGGGAGCAGCGTAAACGACTTTTGCAGAAACTTCAAGTTAGTCATCTTATTTGTGATCGCGAGGGAAGATCAGGTTTTTCTGCTTGGACCTTGTAAAGTAGTTTTTGATTTTCAGTTTTTCTCAGTTCGTTTTGTGTCAGCTCACTTTTCTGTGATTTTTATTTTAATTTACAGGACATAGCTTGTCTTCGTGACGCTCAACCAACTGTTCAGATGCTTCTGAATCAGAACGATTATCCGAAGGCATTAGAATGTATAGAAACAGCACAAGATGTTCTGTGCCATGACTTAAGAGGCGTTGCTTGTTTTAGGTTCATTATCGTTTTCATGTATGATCATTTTGTCTTTAAGAGGTACTGGGCTTACTTTCAGGCATTTGAGCACGCAGCTGCAAGAGCTATACAAAGTTATTGGGCGTATGTTGCAGGAAGAATTTATCGCTTTAATTCAAAAGGAATTTGGCAGGTCGTGTGAAAATGAGAATGATGTGTTCTATCAAGAGGTTGCTCTTCATTCTCTTTAAGAGCTTTTTCTGACGAGAACTATTTGTTATGAGATATTTTTTTTT